GATCTACTTCTGCTTCTTCAGCAGCTGTGGTTGGGGCATATATTTGGATCACTGTAATGTTGAATGGCTTTCCTTGCACTCGAATTGAGATCATTCTGTCATTTTTTGGGTTGTATCCAAGCACCGCTTTAGCGAATTTCTTATTAATTATGAAGGCTACTCCATTTCTTCGATGTTCCTCTTGTCCGCAGTAGTAGATCTGGTGGCCAGCTGATGTGAAGTGGCCCATTCCAGTCCATTTCAGTTCGCTGACCCCCAGAATGTCTATCTTTAGTCTTGACATCTCACCAATAACAACATCCAATTTGCCCTGGCTCATAGATCTTACATTCCAGGTTCCTATGGTGTGTTGATCTTTAGAGCATCGGATTCGTCGTTCACCTCCAGTACCGTCGGCCGCTAGCCTTCCTTTCGGCTTTGAGCTAGCTGCGTCATCACATCTCGGGCTAGTTGAACTTATCCTCTGCTCCTCCCCAGTAGCATTTTGGCCATCTTCCGACCTGGGAGTCCCATCTTCCAATGGCATACCGACATATCTCTGGTTGTACTGGTCCATTTAGTTTTTTGCAAGAATACTGGGGTGGTTTGCCATTACCTTCCCCAGGGATCACACTTGGTCTGACCTCTTTGCCATGACCGTCCTGTCTTGGGTGTCCCTTCACAGTTTCGCTCATGACATCATTGAGGTGCTCAAGCTCCAGCGCCACAAGGCGGTGATCCTTTGCTGGAGCAGGCAGACATAGAGAGGCACATACATACCTTCTCCAGAGATCCAAGGGGGGGGGGAGGGAGGGAGAGGGAGAGGGAGAGGGAGAGAGAGAGAGAGAGAAGGCTTCCTCCTGGAAAATGGCGGCCGGGCTGGGAGGGGCGGGGCCTGCAGTGACGTCGCCCTCCCCAGCCGCGCTCCTGATTGGCCGCCCTCTGCCGGGGCTCATTTGCATCTCGGAAGGGGGCGCCCCCTGTCGGCCTCCTCCCTCCCTCCCTCCCTCCCTTGGGGACTCCGTTCCGCGCAGGCGCAGACAGGCAGCCTTCCCTCCTCCTGGGCCTGTTTCCTTCCTTCCTTCCCGGAGGGTGCGCTTCCCGGCCTGGCCACTGGGGGGCAGCAAAGGGCAGGAAGGAGGAGGGAGGGGCGTCTCCAGGCGAGGGCGCCTTCCCTTCTCCACCAGAAGAGGGCGCCCCAGGGAGGGAGGGAGGGAGGGAGGGGGGAGGGGCCAGGAGGGATGCCCCGCCCACTTCCGGCCTCTCTCCTTCAGACACAGACCCAGGGGGGTCATCACTGGGAGAAGAAGCAGGAGGAGGAGGAGGAGGAGGAGGAGGAGGAGGAAGGGGGGCTCTCCCCATCAGACAGACAGACAGACATAATAATAAGACATAGCCATAAATAGGATTCTTTGGGAATGGTAATAATAATAATAATAATATGGCCTGCCTGCATTGTGGGATCCTGGGAGGTGTAGTGTAGCATGGACCCAGCACTGTCTGGTTTGGGCCCTTGTTGAACTAGGCCTCCCAAGGGTTCGATTCCGGGCTTCTCCTCATCATAAATATATAACCATCAATAGGAATCTTTAGGAATGGGAATAATAATGATGATGATCATATTGTCTCCCCCCCCCCACCCAGAGGGAGAGTGTCCTTGCCAGACCTGAAGGGAAGCCCTGAGCGCCACAGCAGAGGGAAGAAGGAGGAGAAGAAGAAGCTGAGGAGGAAACACCACAGAGCCACTCTCTCCAGACTTCCCACCAAGGACATCCAGCCCAAGGACAAGAGGGGTCCTCCTCTCCCTTCTTCTTCTGCAGGAGGAGTCTCCTCCCCTGGACCAGGAGGCAGCTGTGGACAAGAAGTCTCCTGGGCACGGCATTGGATCTGAGGAGACAGGCATGCTGGGCCACTCTCACCACCACCACCACCACCACCACCATGTCAGGCGACACAGAGAAGCCACGGAAAGACACAAGGAGCAGGGGGACAATCTCAACAGTAAGGAGGGACATGAGCCCAATCTGGCTGCCAGTATTCAAAAACTCTGAAATTGCAACAGCACAACAACAGAGAGGAAACAAACAAGGACCTCTCAGGAAAAGCTCGCTCCAGGCACTGCCAGGCAATCGAATGCTAATCAAGGTGGTCAGTTGAAACATTCCCACCTAGCTCCAGCAGACAAGAGTCCTTTGTCCCACCCTAGTCATTCCACAGATATATCAACCCCTCTTCCTAGTTCCAACAGACCTCACTACCTCTGAGGATACTTGCCATAGATGCAGGCGAAACGTCAGGAGAGAATGCCTCTAGAACATGGCCATATAGCCCGAAAAAACCTACAACGACCCAGTTCTTGCTAATGTTGAGGTGGGATCTCCTTTTCTCCCCTGGATTGCTCCATGGCATGTGACCTCCAAGCTGGCACAGGTGGCCTCTCTCAGGGCCTCCTCCGTTCCATCCCTCCCAGGCCAACACTCACCTGTCTCAAGTCCTTGAAACACAACACACTTTTCATAATAATAATAATAATAATAATAATAATAATAATACTTTATTTATGTACCGCTCTATTTCCACGAGGGGACTCAGAGCGGTTCCCAGGTAACATCACAAAACATACAAAGTAAAAAACAACATCACCATAACATTAACAAAACAATATCAGCATAAAAATGGTCGCCATCACACACATACATTCAAAGTCATCCTGCCTGTTCAAGGCAATTGAAAAATTTTCAAGGCCGGGCCAAGCTTGGTGCCAGCCCCAAACTTCGAGGGGGCCCAGGAATGGAGTGCAATGCTACGGCAGGCAAGAACAATATGAGGAACGGGTCTGTGGCTGTTCATTCCGGGACCGATGACAGGAAGTGATCTGGGTCATTGGTAGGAAGAAGAAGGCCGTATTCGAGAATGTGTAAGACTGAGTTAGAACTGGTCATTCTCAAAGGCTTCTGGAAACCAGCAGGTCTTCAAGCTCTTACGAAAGGAGGGGAGAGATGGGACCTGTCCTATTTCCCTTGGAAGGCCGTTCCAGAGGTGGGGGGCCACCACCGAGAAAGCCCTCTCTCTTGTCCTCACCAACCATGCTTGTGACGGAAGTGGGACTGAGAGGCGGGCCTCCCCAGAAGATCTTAGAGTTCGTGCCCACAACCCCCAGACCTAGGACCAGCTCATCCTGAGGCTCCTCCATGATGACATGATGGCAACGGTTTTGGACAACAATGGCTCCCAAAGTGACCCATTTAAGGTGGAATCAGGTGTCAAACAGGGATGTGTTATTGCCCCAACTTTATTCTCCATCTTCATCGCTATGATACTTCACCTTGTGGATGGGAAGCTTCCCACCAGCATTGACCTTGAGTTTGGGAGTTGTGGTTCACCTACATCCAGAGAGCACCATGAACTCAAACAATGATGGATCTGGACCACACTTGGCACGAATATTCCATATGCCCAAATATGAACACAGATGGAGTTTGGGGGAAATAGACCTTGACATTTGGGAATTGTAGGTACGGGGATTTATAGTTCACCTACAATCAAAAAGCATTCTGAACCCCACCAACTTCCCACACAGAACCCCCATGACCAACAGAAAATACTCAAGGCCATCCAGTCCAACTCTCTTTACCAGGGCAAGAAAACGTAATCAAAGCCCTCCCGACAAAGAGTCATCCAGCCATAGATATAGATAGAGAGATATGATTCACACAGAGAGAGATATATAGTATCCTAGATTTGAAAGGGACCCCTAAGGAAGAAGAATGATATGTTACATATCCCAGAGAAGGCAAACCAGACAATCTGCACATCAACACTGGCAAAGAAACAACAAGAAACACAAGAAATACTGTTGACCCACAAGCATCATAAAGTTATATATATATTAGAAACCAACACTTTCTCATTACTTTATTTTCCAGATCACCAGACTGGGCCACAGCAACACCTGGCAGGGGACGGCTAGTCCGTGATAATAATAATAATAATAAGTATATTGTATTGTTTTAATCTACTGCTGTAAACCGCTACATCATCATCCTTGAAATGGTATGCGGATGCTTTTCTGTTGATCCGCTTTGAGTCTCCTGCCGGAGAGCCAAAGTGGGGGAGAAATACAATCATAATAACAGTGTTGCATTGCCAAAGGCTTCCATGGCCGGAATCACCGGATTGTTGTAGGATTTTTCGGGCTATATGGCTCTGTTCCAGAAGCATTCTCTCCTGACGTTTCGCCTGCATCTATGGCAAGCATCCTCAGAGGTAGTGAGGCCTGTTGGAACTAGATCTGGACCAAGCTTTGCACACAGAGCCAGCCAGCATGGCTAACTGTGAATACTGGCTGGGCTTGGGGGTGACATCCCTGTGCGCCTGGGAGTTGTAGTTCACCCTGACCCAGAGAGCCCTTGAACCCAGCCAGTGAGAGACCTGGACCACCCTTGGCACTCAGAGAACCAGTATGGCCAACTGTAGATACTGGCTGGGCTTGGGGGTGACTGCCCTGGGCGCCTGGGAGTTGTAGTTCCCCCTGACCCAGAGAGCCCTTGAACCCAGCCAGTGAGAGACCTGGACCACCCTTGGCACTCAGAGAACCAGCATGGCCAACTGTGGATACTGGCTGGGCTTGGGGGTGACAGCCCTGGGCGCCTGGGAGTTGTAGTTCCCCCTGACCCAGAGAGCCCTTGAACCCAGCTAGTGAGAGACCAGGCCCAAGCTTGGCACGCAGGCCCACCCTGTCCAGCTGTGCCTACGGGCCTGGTGTGGGGGGGGGGGAGGCCTGGCCCTGGCTGCTGGGAGTGGGAGTCCGCCCTCCCGCCTGGCCCTGGCTTCCCTCCTGGGCGAAGCCTTCCTTCCTTCCTTCCTCCGCCAAGGCAGAGAGAGAGAGAGAGAGAGAGAGAGAGAGGCTCCTTCCTCCTCAGGGGGACCCCCCCTTAGTCCACCAAGAGGCACAGCAAGAGGCCCTCCTCAGGCTCCCCAGGCAGGAGAAGGGAACCCCAGAGACAGAGACGCATACACACCTTCTCCGGAGAGACGCCATCCAAAGGCGGAGAGAGAGAGAGAGAGAGAGAGAGAGAGGCTTCTTCCCTGGGCGAGGAAGGAGGCTTCCTCCTGGAAAATGGCGGCCGGGCCGGGAGGGGCGGGGCCTGCAGTGACGTCGCCCTCCCCAGCCGCGCTCCCGATTGGCCGCCCTCTGGCGGGGCTCATTTGCATCTCGGAAGGGGCCGCCCCCTGTCGGCCTCTCCCCTCCCTCCCTGCCTCCCTCCCTCGGGGACTCCGTTCCGCGCAGGCGCAGTCAGGCAGCCTTCCCTCCTCCTGGGCCTGTTCCCTTCCTAAGCGGCCGCTCCGAGGGTGCGCTTCCCCGCCTGGCCACTGGGGGGCAGCAAAGGGCAGAAAGGAGGAGGGGCGTCTCCAGGCGAGGGCGCCTTCCCTTCTCCACCAGAAGAGGGCGCCCCAGGGAGGGAGGGAGGGGGAGGGGCCAGGAGGGATGCCCCGCCCACTTCCGGCCTCTCTCTCTCCTTCCGCCACAGACCCAGGGTTGTCCTCACTGGGAGAAGCAGGAGGAGGAGGAGGAGGGGGAGGGGGGGCTCTCCCCATCAGACAGACAGACAGGCAGACATAATGAGACATGACCAGAAATAGGATTCCTTAGGAATGGGAATAATAATAATAATAATATGGCCTGCCTGCATTGTGGGATCCTGGGAGGTGTAGTGTAGCATGGACCCAGCACTGTCTCCTTTGGACCCTTGTTGAACTAGGCCTCCCAAGGGTTCCATTCCGGGCTTCTCCTCATCATAAATATATAACCATCAATAGGAATCTTTAGGAATGGGAATAATAATGATGATCATATTGTCTCAGCCCCCCCCCCACCCAGAGGGAGAGTGTCCTTGCCAGACCTGAAGGGAAGCCCTGAGCGCCACAGCAGAGGGAAGAAGGAGGAGAAGGAGAAGCTGAGGAGGAGACACCACAGGCACCACCCTCTCTCCAGACTTCCCACCAAGGACATCCAGGCCGTGCTCCCTTCAGCCAAGGACAAGAGGGGTCCTCCTCTCCCTTCTTCTTCTGCAGGAGGAGTCTCCTCCCCTGGACCAGGAGGCAGCTGTGGACTGTGGCTGTTCATTCCGGGACCGATGAGAGGAAGTGATCTGGGTCATTGGTAGGAAGAAGAAGGCCGCATTCGAGAATGTGTAAGACTGAGTTAGAACTGGTCATTCTCAAAGGCTTCTGGAAACCAGCAGGTCTTCAAGCTCTTACGAAAGGAGGAGGGATGGGGCCTGTCTTATTTCCCTTGGAAGGGCGTTCCAGAGGCGGGGGGCCACCACCGAGAAAGCCCTCTCTCTTGTCCTCACCAACCATGCTTGTGACGGAAGTGGGACTGAGAGGCGGGCCTCCCCAGAAGATCTTAGAGTTCGTGCCCACAACCCCCAGACCTAGGACCAGCTCATCCTGAGGCTCCTCCATGATGACATGATGGCAACGGTTTTGGACAACAATGGCTCCCAAAGTGACCCATTTAAGGTGGAATCAGGTGTCAAACAGGGATGTGTTATTGCCCCAACTTTATTCTCCATCTTCATCGCTATGATACTTCACCTTGTTGATGGGAAGCTTCCCACCGGAGTGGAAATCATCTATCGGACAGATGGCAAGCTGTTTAACCTCAGCAGACTGAAAGCCAAAACCAAGGTTACAACAACATCTGTTATAGAACTCCAGTATGCTGATGACAATGTCGTCTGTGCGCATTCAGAAGAAGATCTACAAGCCACTCTAAACACCTTCGCAGAAGCATACGAGGAGCTCGGCCTGTCACTGAACATCGAGAAAACCAAAGTGCTCTTCCAGCAGACACCAGCCACCCCCTCCCCAATGCCAGAGATACAGCTTAATGGTGAAACATTAGAACATGTTGATCATTTCCGCTGCCTTGGCAGCCACCTTTCCACCAAAGTCAACATCGACACTGAAATACAAAACCGCCTGAGCTCTGTGAGCGCAGCATTTTTCCAAATGAAGCAGAGAGTGTTTGAGGACCGGGACATTCGTAGGGAGACCAAGGGGCTTGTATAAAGCTATTGTCCTCCCAACCCTGCTATATGCCTGCGAAACGTGGACTGTCTACAGGCGTCACATGCAACTCCTGGAATGATTCCATCAGCGCTGCCTCCGGAAAATCCTGCAAATCTCTTGGGAAGACAGGCGGACAAACATCAGCGTCTGGAAGAAGCAAAGACCACCAGCACTGAAGCAATGGTCCTCCGCCATCAACTCCGCTGGACCAGCCACGTTGTCCGGATGCCCGAGGAAATGTTCCATTCCTTGCCGCCCGACATGAGAGCCATGAGTGACTGAGGACCTTTTACTCTCGCACTTAAGACCTGGCTTTTGACTAGAGCATTCGATCTCTGTTAATTTTTAATTTCTGTATGTATGTATTTTATCTTTTACAATTTAGCTGTAAATTGCCTAGAGCATTCTCGGATGGAGGGCGATTAATAAGTAATTAAATATATGATGATGATGATGATGATGATGATGATGATGATGATGATGATGATGATGAAAGCCAATGAATCCATCCTGAGTGCAATTAATACAAGTAAATACATTTCAGATAAATATCATCACAAAAGGACACCCACACTCCTCAAGAGTTTTAATGTTATGTTTAATGTTCTATGAATCTAGTTGTAATTATAAACTAAATCAAACTAAAATTTGGAAGTAAAACTTGAAAGGTTAAGTGCCAGTTGTTCTTGTGGTCTTCAGGCTCTTCCACCAGTTGCTCATCTTCTGAGCACAGTTTGGTTTCTTCTTCCCGTCATTCGCAGCACTGATGGAGGCTTTCTCTTCCTTGGCGTCCACACTGAGTGCGAGTTGAGGGCGGTACTCAGGTTTTTGAGGTATGGTTCCCTCCACACGTGCAAACTCACGATACTTTCTCCATATTCTCAGCCGTTCCTCAAAGTTCAATTTCTTCTCCAAAGCTGTAGCAATGACAGCCACTTGCTCATGAATGGGACCCACGATCAATATGGATTCACGGCCCACAGGTGTACTCTTCCCTGTTTCCTTTTCTCCAAGGAGAGGATCTCGTGTGCAAAACAAAGAGGGTCCACAACGTAGTTCTTCCCTTGGACGCAGGGGCATCTCTTCCTCCTCTTTCCCCCCAATCATTCCTCCTCCTCTTTCGCTGGGTGTCCCGTCATCTGCGTTTGCGTTTCTGACCAATTCATCTATTTGAGGTTTTGTTTTTAAAAAGATAAGATTTTAACCATAATTAAAATAGATGAATTTCAACACAAAAAGGAACAAAATAGAAAAACAACCAAAGCAGAAAAAAGAAAACAGAAATTCAAAGCAAGAAAACAACAGAGGGTTGTTGTAGGTGTTTTCGGCCTCTATGGCCATGGTCTAGAGCAGGGGTCCTCCAACCTTTCAAACGGGGGGCCAGATTCCTGTCCCCCAGACCGTTGGAGGGCCGGACTATAGTTTCTTAAAAAATGAGGACCAAATTCCTATGAACACTGCACATGTCCTATTTTGCGACTGTTATGAATTGTAATGTAAATATGCAATGTAAAAATCATGTATTTTTATTGTTACAACCTGAACATAAAGCATGGTTTTAGCATTTCTGAAGATGAAATAGTTCCAATTAAAATGAGGAAAACATTCTATTTTCTGTCTTTTTGGAAGTGGTTTTTGGAATATGTAAGCCTGAGTCCCCTTTCAGGGGGAGAAGGGCAGGGTATCAATATAGGAAATACATCTATATTAAAAATGTAATGTTTGTTTGTGGGATTAACAGAACTCAAATAGCACTGGACACCTAACAACCCAATGTATATCCTCCACTCAAAAAAAATTGATTTTGTCATTTGGGAGTTGTAGTTGCTGGGATTTATAGTTTACCTATAATCAAAGAACATTCTGAACCCCACCAACGATGGAATTGAACCAAACTTGGCACACATTTCTCCCATGACCAACAGAAAATACTGGAAGGGTTTGGTGCGCAGTGTCCTTTGGTTTTAGAGTTGTAGTTCACCTACATCCAGAGATCACTGTGGACTCAAACAATGATGGATCTGGACCAAACTTGGCACTGATACTCAATATGCCCAAATGTGAACACTGGTGGCGTTTGGGGGTTGTATTTGCTGGGATTTATAGTTCACCTGCTATCAAAGAGCATTCTAAACTCCAACAATGATGGAATTGAACCAGTCTTGGTACACAGAACTCCCATGAACAAGAAAAAATACTGGTGGGCAATGACCTTGAGTTTTGGAGTTGTAGTTCACCTGCCTCCATAAATCGCTGTGGACTCAATGATAGATCTGGACCAAACTTGGCACTGACACTCAATATGTCCAAATGTGAACACTGGTGGCGTTTGGGGGTTGTATTTGCTGGGATTTATAGTTCACCTGCAAGCTTGGCACTGATATTCCAAACCTTTTCACAGCGGCGCTGCAGGGGCTTGTTCTCCCGGCGCGGCTGGTAGTGTTGCTGCAAGCAAGGAAGTCCTCCATTGTGCATGTGGCAGGGCTCAGGATGAGTCCACAACAAGACGAGTCCACAGCAGACACTCTGCTGGCTGTGGTGTTGGATCACATGTGGGACCCTTCCCAAATGTCTAGGATGGTGTGATGTATTGTTGTTGTTGTTGTCACCGGCTACGAGGAATTGTGGGAGCTGGAGTCCCAAACGCCGCGGGGAGGGGCTCCACACATAACACTCTGCGGCCCTGTTGCAGGGAGCAGAGCCCGGGGTCCAGGCGCCCCGTCGGGCGGCTTGGAAGCGCTTGGGCGGAAGGGGGCGGGGCCTGGGCTGGCCGGCTGGGACCACGTGAGCACGAAGGCCCCGCCCCCTCTCCCCTCCCCTCGCGCAGGCGCGCCTCCCACATGCGCCTCTGACGACGTGTCCTTCGGGCAGGCTGCCCCTGGAGTCCCTCCCCCTCCGCGGTTTGAACGCGCTGGCCTTCCCTCCCTGGGCGGCACTGGCCGCGCGGATTAGCTCGATGGTGAGACCCGGCCGAAGCAGAGGGTGTCCGCAATGGGCGGAGTGGTGCCGGGTGGGCGTGGCCAGGCCAGGCCGCGCGGGCCGGAGAAAGGCCCTCGGCGGGCCGCATACAGCTCACGGGCCGTAGTTTGGGGAACCCTGGTCTAGATGGTCGCCCCGAGGAAAAGCCTTGGAAGCCTCCTTCTGCCTCTGGAGGTTCGGGAAAGAATTCGCAGAAAGAGTCACCACAAGATTAATGCACAAAAATCATTGAAATAGACAGAAAAATATCTGGAAAAATAGTTGGGTCCAAGGGTGCGCTTCCCGCCTGGCCACTGGGGGGCAGCAAGGGGCAGAAAGGAGGAGGGGCATCTCCAGGCGAGGGCGCCTTCCCATCTTCTCCACCAGAAGAGGGCGCCCCAGGGAGGGAGGGGCCAGGAGGGATGCCCCGCCCACTTCCAGCCTCTCTCCTTCAGACACAGACCCAGGGTCATCATTAGTAGTGCTGCTCATCAGCATAAATAAATACATAATAAGACATAACCATAAATTAGGAATCTTTAGGAATGGTAATAATAATAACATGGCCTGCCTGCATTGTGGGATCCTGGGAGGTGTAGTTTAGAGTTTAGATAGGGAAAGACCTGCTCTTTCTAAAATAGCAACTCAGCACTAGGGCAGAGAGTATCCCAGGATTTCTCTGCCATTGGAAGAAGCTCTAACTACTTCGTCTCCAAGCTAGCTTTGAGTTTAGATAGGGAAAGACCAGCGCTAGGGCAGAGAGTATCCCAGGATTTCTCTGCCATTGGGAGAAGTTAACTCAGCAGCTGAAGCGAAAAGTAAGAAAGGAACACCCACATGATTTTATAAGTGGACTGTTTGTATTTGTAACCTCAACAAGTCGTGCCAAGCCTGTCAAGGACTTTGAGAAAATAAAAACCTTGTTTGACGTTCAATCTGGAGAGGTCTGAGTTGCTGGGACTCCTGAGCTTCAAAGGAAGGCCCTCGCGGCCCACTTGGCTAAAGAAAGAAGCACATCATAGTTTCCACCTTAAAGTGCCGAGGTGTGACTGCACACTGGCGGAAGGTTCTCGCTGGTCGGAAGCTTCCCAACATTTCATCAAGTGTACAGAAACCCAAAGATTCAACATATATACACAATAAGGGGCTCCGGATGGCGGGAGGAATCCTAGGGACTTCATTCATGGGGTCCTGACCACTGCTGGGCTGGGGAGTAATTCACAATATCCCATAAGAATACAAGGGGCTCCTACCCCCCGAGCGTGACTTATGGGCGGGAGAAACATAGACCATAAGGGGAAGGAAACATGGGGTTCAGACACTAACAGTTAGGAGCGTTGTCTCGTTGGAAAGTTCTGGGATAAGTAATATAGAGAGAGAATAACAGATCTGTTGCTGTGGTAATAAAAGTTGGATGGGTTGCAGCCATAAAGTAATTAGTTTATTTACATTCTATATACAAAGAGCAACACAGCACAAAGCAGGCACGTCTGTCCTCCGGCAAAGACATCTCCGAAAGACGGCGAGGGTCGTCTCCCCTTCTCAGTCAAAAGCAGGCCTACACAATTCCATTCTGATGACAAAAGTCCGGTCTCATCAGAGGAAGCAGGAAAACATTTCTTCTCTCCTCTCTAGGAGAATTTAAACCTCTGTGGTCTGTTAACGCTACACACGCTAGGCAGCTTTACAAACACACACTTTGAAATCTCCCAATTAATCAAATATACTTCAACAATCCCCTCTGAGATTTTCACATGGGTTGTTTTTAAAAGCTTCTCCATACAATAAATTACATTTCAAAAACCTCTTAACAGCTTCTCTATACTTCATACCATACAACTCTACTTCTAGTCTCTTAGAGTTCCTTAGACTGACACATACACATGGATACAGCTAGTATTACATAATATAGTATTATATTGAATATCTTATATGAAATTGTTTAATCTCTGGCTTGCTTGTTCAACTAAATGACTGTGTCACAAAAGGATGCATGTCTAAAAAGTGTTTCACCAACATGAAAAGTCTGGAAAGCTCTACCTGGGAAACTCTCTTTGGGGTCAAACACCGCTGTTCTCTCCAATGTGAATTCTACTCTCAGAGAAGCTTTTCTCACACACTATGTGTTTATAGGGTTTTTCCGCAGTGTGAATCCTTTGAACTCTGAGTGAAGCTCTTTCCACACTCCAGGCATGTATAAGGTTTCTCTTCAGTGTGAGTCCTTTGATGTGAACGTAGACCTGAACTATGAATGAAGCTCTTTCCACACTCCAGGCATGGATGTTGCTCCCAAGTGTGAGTCCTTTGATGTCTTTCCATTCTCAGAGAAGTTTTTTCCACACACTATGCATTTATAGAGTTTCTCCCAGTATAAGTTCTTTGATGAGAACGTAAACTTGAACAATGGGTGAAGCTCTGTCATCACTCATGGGATTTATAGGATTGTTCCCCAGTGTGAGCCCTTTGGTGTGAAAGTAGACCTGAACTCTCAGTGTAGCTCTGTCATCACTCATGGCATTGATAGGGTTTCTCCCCAGTGTGAATCCTTTGATGTGAACATAGACTTCCACTCTGAGAGAAGCTCTGTCCACACTACAGGCATCTATGCGGTTTCTCTTCCATGTGAACCCTTTGGTGTTTATGTAGGATTGAACTCAGAGTGAAGCTCTTTCCACACTCCAGGCATGTATAGGGTTTCTCCCCAGTATGAGTTCTTAGATGTGAACGTAGATTTCCACTCTCGGAGAAGCTCTGCCCGCACTCCAGGCATGTATAGAGTTTCTCCCCCGTGTGACTCCTTTGATGTGAACGTAGATTTCCACTCTGAGTGAAGCTCTGCCCACACTCCAGGCAGTTATAGCATTTCTCCCCCATGTGAATACTTTGATGTGAACGTAGATTTGAACTCCGAGTGAAGGTCTGCCCACACTCCAGGCATTTATAGGGTTTCTCCCCTGTGTGAATCCTTTGATGTGAACGTAGATGTTCACTCTGAGCAAAGCTCTTTCCACACTCCAGGCATGTATAGGGTTTCTCCCCCATGTGAATCCTTTGATGTGAACGTAGATATGAACTCTGAGTGAAGCTCTGCCCACACTCCAGGCATGTATAGGGCTTCTCACCAGTGTGAATCCTTTGGTGTGAACGTAGATTTCCACTCTCAGTGAAGCTCTGCCCACACTCCAGGCAGTTATAGGGTTTCTCTCCAGTGTGAGTCCTTTGATGTTTATATAGATGTGAACTATGAGCGAAGCTCTTTCCACACTCTGGGCATGTATAAGGTTTCTCCCCAGTGTGAATCCTTAGATGCAAACGTAGACCTGTAGTATGAGTGAACCTCTTTCCACACTCCAGGCATGTATAGGGTTTCTCCCCAGTATGAGTCCGTTGATGTGAACGTAGACCTGAACTATGAGTGAAGCTCTTCCCACACTCCGGGCATGTATAGGGTTTCTCCCCAGTGTGAATCCTTTCATGTAAACGTAGACTACCACTGTGAGTGAAGCTCTTTCCACACTCCAGGCATGCATAGGATTTCTCCCCCGTGTGAGTTCTTTGATGTCGCTTCAGATCACCGCTCCGAGAGAAACTTTTCCCACATTCCAGGCATATAAATGCTTTAAATGCTTTCTCCTCCATGTCAGCCATGATATGGGTGTTTGATTGCAATACAGATACTTCAGTCTTCTTTTTTCCTTCCTTATCTGTATGTGAGACCAAGATTTCAGCAAGTCCATCAACTAGAGAGAAATTCTTCCTATATTATTGATTTCATTGCTGCATCCAAGGGGTGGCTCCACAGAATCCTCGTTTCCCTGGTTAAGAAAGAAGCAAAAGGTCAAGGATGAAGGTGAGAAGCTTTCTTTGCCTCCACAATTTCCCCCTTTCCCTTCATGGGTCATGTTGAAAATGGAAACACCCAGAAACGCAAACATTATGGTCTTCAGAGGTTCTGTTGGACAATGAAGCAAGTGGTGTGTCTCTATCCCTGTGGAACAATGTCCAGGGTGGGAGAAAGAACCCTTGTCTGCTTGAAGCAGGTGTGAATGGCCCAGCATTCCTGCGTTTCAAATAAGATTCTGTGTCCAGCACTCAGAAACAGGAGAACTCCAGACAGCAAGCAATCAGGTGCCAGTTAACACCTCCCAAACAGAGGGTGCCTCCAGGCAACAGAGGCCAGGCTGCCTCCCTGCAGATATCCTCACTGATTGACTCTGCAGACTTCATGGCTACTCCAATGCTTATTCAAGCTTGCTCATTGCAACATTCACCCTTGGCTCAAACAGACAAGGGTTCTTTCTCCCGCCCTGGATATTATTCCACAGGAATATTACTCCATTTGATTCACTGCCAAGAGAACCTCTAAATGTGCCATTAGCCACAGATGCAGGCAAAACGTCAGGAGAGAATGCTGCTGTAACATGACTAGACAGGCCAAAAAATGTACAGCAACCCAGTGATTCTGGTCATGAAAGCCTTCAACAAAACCTGACCTTGAGCGCAGCATTGTTTTGGCTAGGAGGCGAAACACGTGGGGGGAGAAGTGGTGGAGAATCCATGTGGTGAAAGGAAAAGTGCGGAAGCAGGGACACAAAGAAAGAACGGAAGGATGAATGGATGGAGACAATAATTTTGGAATCACCAGTAAAATATTAAAGCCTGCAATGACTAACGACCTGCCTCGATTGTAATTAAAAGTCGCTAATAAGAACGGAAAAGAAAACTGTGATTTAAAAACTGGACAGTGATAGATAAATGTTTACAATGTTAAGAAGGAAGTCAACACAAGGCTAACACCGATCAAGAAGAGTCAACATCTGGCCAGGAAACTGAGATGGAGCCCGGGTGGAAGACATCTATCATTCATTTATGAATAGAAGAATGGAAGGGACCCCCAAACTGCAGACCTGTGATTTCAGCGCGAGTGCAACCCCATCCAACACAAGTTGCCACCCAATACCCCGGTCAGACGAGCGACTGACCTGGAGGACCTCTGTCTTGTCAGGGTTGATCCTCACCTTGTTCGTCCTCATCCAGATCGTCACAGCAGCCAGGCACGGGTCCAATATCCTCGGGGCTTCCTTGGAATCTGGTGGAAAAGAGTAGTGGAGTTGGGTGTCATCTGCGTAGAGGTGGCACCGTACTCCAAAACTCCCAGCGGTTTCATGTAGACGTTAAATAGCACGGGGAACACAATAGAGCCTTGCGGGACCAGTAAATCTCTGGTATTCAACTGGAATTTCAGCAATGGGGACCTCAAAAATGGAGCCATAAATTCCTTTCAACCAATATTTTTGGCCTGGAACCAACTGTTCTTTTTTAACAAGCTCTGGATGGATCAAAGAGTCCTCAGCTCCTGTGTCTCTCAGGCCTAAAAGTGTTTTCTCATCCACCTTCACAACCTCCAATTAATCCTTATTTATTGTCGAAGGCTTTCATGGCCGGAATCACTCAGTTCTTGTGGTTTTTTTCGGGCTATATGGCCATGTTCTAGAGGCATTTCTCCTGACGTTTCGCCTGCATCTATGGCAAGCATCCTCAGAGGTGAGATCATTCTCTGAGAATGCTTGCCATAGATGCAGGCGAAACGTCAGGAGAAATGCCTCTAGAACATGGCCATATAGCCCGAAAAAAACCACAAGAACTGAATCCTTATTTACTCCTTTCCCTACACTCCAAACTCTCATTTCTCTGACAGGTTCTTCCTGTGGAGCGTGCCTCTCACTTTGTGGTTTTACTTGTGTTACACATTCACTGACTTTGGTTGTGTTACTGGCTTTTTGTGGGTGGTTAACTTAGGGCAGGCTGATCTTATGTGTCCCTCCTGATGACAATTATGGCACAGAATCTTTCTTGTGGCATTAACAGCAATGGCGTCCCCCCGGACAGGATTTTGACTTCCTTTGTCAAACTTTCCCTTCGAGACCCACTCTCTCAGCCTCTTGGCAACCATTGGGGAATGACTACTGTCCCAGTCTCCCTCCAGTTCATCAAGCCATGCGGCCGGGTCTGCCACCTTTTTGATTCTCTTTTCTTTGACAAACCAAGGCATTTGGACTGGAATTAGTTTATGAAACTGTTCCAAACAGACTAAGTGCCTTAGCATCTCTTCTGGCCATCTGTCTAAGGCTTTCTCTAGCCTACTGCTCATTTGCGAATAGGTCTCCCCAGCCTTCCGCTTCACCTCCCTACTTTGTTCTGCCGTCAAACCAAACCTCAGTTTCACTCTTTCCTTGAACACCTTATAATCAGTGCTCTCAGAATCCCTCAAATCTGCGTCAATCTCACTTAATTCACCACAGATTAACGGCCTTAAATGTGCTATCATTCTGGATTCTGACATCTGAAAATCAAGGCAGGTTCTCTCAAAACTTGCCAGGAAAGATTCAACACATTCCCCTTTTTGATAACACGGGAAGTGTTTCAGAGCCATTGGGTCAGTGGTGTTAACGTTAGGTTAGTTCTGGGTGTTCCCTCCGTTTCCCTTAAACGAAGTTCAAACACTCTTTCCTCATGCCTCATACACTCTCTCTCTCTCTCAGCCTCAGCTCCTCTGTCCCTCTCACGTTGTTCAGCCTCAGCTGCAATTCGCATTTTCTCAATTTCCATTTGAATTTGCAGTTTCTGTATTTCCAAGGAGGTAGTTATTTGTTCTGGACTGCCCTCCTGTATTTGTACCTCAGTTTCCCCCACTTCTCCAACCACTTCTTCTCTTTCCCCTTCCTCAGTCACATTCTTTTTCCACTTAGTTGGTGCCATGATAATCCGTTTGCTTTCAAAATGGTGCCTATAGTAGCTCTCTGAGGTAATTTCTTTTTTGTGGTTTCTGTCAAATATTTACCTCAGGATTTCTCTAAAAATGACTGGATTTAGTTGTTACATGAATCGCAACCACTGCAAACCAAAATATAAAGGATTCGAGGCTTTATTTGGGTATAAAAATAATCCCAAAAGCAGAACACCACTAAGATTGGAATTAGGCTTCTGTGATTAAAAGCCCCAAATCAAAAGCGGTAAGGAAAGCTGGAACTTTCTTCTGGCCAAAAAACCCTTTTTGAAAGCCCTCTGGCACCCACCAACTTAGAAGCGCTGATAACACCTTGGCTTACTGGACGTATTCTTAGGCAAGAGTGTGTTGGATTTAGCCCTCAGACTTGTGTTTCTGAGGTAACACTAAAGATTGTTCTTTAAAATCTACACTGCCGCCATTAGTCTCCTGTTTGCTGCAGGAAACTGCTCTTAAAACTTCACCCACAGAGGCACACGTGAGGCAGTTGTTGTGAACAACAAAACAATGAGGTTTATTTGAGAGAACTTGAACCAATTAGGTATTAAGCTTAGTTGGTTTCAAAATACTGACTTAAAAGCGTGTGGTTATGTTAAGCAGTTCAGACTTAGTTACACAGGAAACACTTCTCTCTCCCTCCAGAGAAATACTGACAGAACTGCTTCTCTGACAGTAATGTCTAAACTCCTCCACACAGACCGTCCTTGTCTTTTGGGATCTGTCTCTCCACTCCCCAGCTCTCCTTCCCAAATAGCTGTAATCTTCTCGCTAGCTGTCTTTGCTAGCCAACTGACCAATCTCAGGCCTTACTCACTAACCCTCTACACCACTCCAAACTCCTAACACCTTCTCTGTTTGACACCCAGGTTCAATCTCCTGACAGGGTTTTCAAAATCTTCCCTTAAAGTCATTTTTTAATTATTTTGCCAAATTAAGCACCGCCCACTCTAACTCAGCCAATTACAGTCTTCCCTCATTTCCCTCCAAAGCTGATCTTTCTAAACACGCCCTCTTCAGGAAATGAGTAACTAAAATGGATTCCTCCCCCCCCCCTCCCCGGCACCCTTTCTAAAATGGCTGCCGAACTTCCTGAGCCTACTTTTCTAGGCTTTTCCTAGCCTAACAAGTAGGGAATTCACTACATCCCGCTTCGGCAGGAAGGTAACGGTGCTCCATGCAGTCATGCCAGTGGCCACATAACCTTGGAGGTGTCTACGCTCGCCCATGTCATTGTGATTGTGTTTATTGTGATCTTATATTGCTATGTTCTCTTTTGCTTTATGTAATTGCGTTATTATTGTTGATTATTTGCGTTTTCGGTTTTGTTTTATTTTTATGTCATTGTTGCTTTGGGCTTGGCCTCATGTAAGCCGCACCGAGTCCCCATCGGGGAGATGGAGCAGGGTACAAATAAAGTTTATTATTATTATTATCATTATTATTACGGACAACGCCAGCTCTTCGGCTTAGAAATGGAGATGAGCACCAGAATCCCAGAAGCGGACACGTCTAGACTTAATGCCAGGAGAAAACCTTTACCTTTGCCTTAAATTAATACAAACAGACTGATATGGATTTCTCAAAGCCAGATACACTGGGCATCCAATCGGAAATATACAACATATAATGGAACATAAACAAAGAAAGAAATAACAGCAGCTTTTCTAAAATCAGATCTACAGAAAACACCCCAGTTCAGGATGGTGTGTCTCTGAATGAATGAATGAATGAATGAATGAGTGGCATGCCTAGCAGTTGATGGTAGTTGTTGTTGTTGTTGTTCATTCGTTCAGTCGTCTCCGACTCTTCGTGACCTCATGGACCAGCCCACGCCAGAGCTCCCTGTCGGCCGTCACCACCCCCAGCTCCTTCAAGGTCAGTCCAGTCACTTCAAGGATGCCATCCATCCATCTTGCCCTTGGTCGGCCCCTCTTCCTTTTGCCTTCCATTTTCCCCAGCATAATTGTCTTCTCTAGGCTTTCCTGTCTCCTCATGATGTGGCCAAAGTACTTCAACTTTGTCTCTAGTATCTTTCCCTCCAGTGAGCAGTCGGGCTTTATTTCCTGGAGGATGGACTGGTTGGATCTTCTCGCAGTCCAAGGCACTCTCAGAACTTTCCTCCAACACCACAGCTCAAAAGCATCGATCTTCCTTCGCTCAGCCTTCCCTAAGGTCCAGCTCTCACATCCGTAGGTGACTACAGGGAAGACCATGGCTTTGACTAGGCGGATCTTGGTTGCCAGTCTGATGTCTCTACTCTTTACGATTTTATCGAGACTGGACATTGCTCTCCTCCCAAGAAGTAAGAAGAAAGAAGAAGTAAAGTAGTTAGTTTTTTGTTTGTTTTTTGTCGTGTCAGGACAATTTGAGAAACTGGTGGTGGTTACTTAAGAGCAGGCATGGGAAGACTTGGGCCCTCCAGGTGTTTTGGAGCACTCCAGACAACAAGCAATCAAGGGCCAGTTAACACCTCCCAACGAGAGGATGCCCCAGCCAGCAACAGCCAGGCCACCTCGATGCAAATACCCTCACTGACTGATTTGGCAGCTTCATGGCCACTCAATGCTCATCAAGCTTGCTAATTTGAATGCAATATTCCTGCTTCTTAGCAGGGGGTTGGACTGGATGGCCCATGAGGTCTCTTCCAACGCTTTGATTCTATTTCTATGGGTGTCACCATCGGAGGCCTTCCATAAGAAGGAATTACCTAGGGAAAAATGGCTCAATTACAACCAACTTCTAATAAGAGACAATACCCAATGGCGATTCAAATCAATGGATGAACTTAGAGAAATAGACAAAGAACTGGGTTGGTTCCACTATCTACAAGCAAAAGAACGTTATAAGGAGGATTGCAAAAAAGGATTCTCCGGGACTGAGACCACTTGGGACAAGATAATGAAAAAAGAAAAAAAAGTGATAACGACACTATATAGAAGCCTACTAGAATGGAACAACGAAAAGGAATTGATAAAAGAAAGTATGAACAAATGGGCGAAAGACATAGGCAAGACCATATGGCTCAGAGAATGGGAGCAAATCTGGAAAAAGAAAACCAAACTTACTAAAGCCACATCTATTATAGAAAACTGTCATAAGATGTTCTATAGATGGCATTGAACGCCAGCCATACTATCTAAAATTAATACAAATCACAGCAAATTGTGCTGGAAGTGCAAAAAGGAGACAGGGAACTACTATCATATGTTCTGGAAATGTAAGAGAGTCCAACAATTTTGGCTGACGGTCCATAAACACGCACAAAAAATAACTAAATCAAAACTGGAAATGAAGCCTGAATA